CAACAGTTAAAAAAATTGTAAACAATTTTTTTTATGTATATACAGGGATGATGCTAGGGGGGATTGAGCCCAAAGCAAAACTGGATAACTTATATACTAATAGATATGTGAAGCTATGTCATCACCTATTCCCGCTGTCTATTTCATGTCTCGTCCTCTCTACCCACGAAATATGCTACTTTTGCTTTCCAGGATACCAATACAGCCAACAGTAAAGCACATGCTGCACAGCCCAGTATTCAAATCTGTCCTGCCATAGTACCTAACTAATACAGGGATATGCTACCTCCCTTTGCTAAGATAACCGTTCTGAATCTTCTCCTATAATACCTGATGGGGTTCAGATCTGGAGACTAGGATGAACATGGCAGGACCTTGGTTTTGTCGTCAGTAAACCATTTGTGTGTTGATTTTGATGTATGCTTTGGATCATTGTCCTGTTGGAAAATCCAACCTTAGCCCATTTTAAGCTTTTTGGCTGAGGCAGTCAGGTGTTCATTAAATACCTGTTGATATTGATAGAGTCCATGATGCCAAGTATCCTAACAAAATGTCCAGGTCCTCTGGAAGAAAAAGCATCCACAAAACATTAAAGAGATACCACTATATTAAACCGTTTCCATATTGTGAGGATATTTATGGGGTAGTGAATATTAAAAATATTTTATAAAATTTTTTTTTACATTCTTTAATAGTTTTTATTAATATGAAAAATTTATATTTTGGCATGGTTTCCCCTTGATTGATTTAAAGCGAAGAGTACGAAGAGTACAGACCCTGGAGTATATTTATTAGAGGATTTGTATTTCACACATTAATCACAACCGATTTATAAAAATATAATTTATTGTGACAAATAATTAATAATACGTCACATGCATGACAATATCACTGAATATTTACCATACAATAAGTATAAGATATGGCAACAGTTTTGACACAATAACCAAAATTAAAGATAGCTTAAAATCAATATATCCAGCAACATGAGTAGATTAATTTCCAAAGGGTTTACATGCAAAGTTATAAATAATTCATCTAGAATTTAATTAATTGTTATATCCAACATAGATGCATTTCTTATAATGTTATAGGAGACCCTCCGCTTTGGAATTCCTTTACACAGAGCTTTGCAGCTTCAAGTCCGTAAAAAAAACAGAAACCTTAGATGCTATCAATCTGAATCACACTAACTCACTGCTGGCTGCAATTCTCCCAAGCTAAACACTTGAATATTGCAACTAAAAGATACAATATTTCTCACACAAATAGTCAATTTAACCATTTTCTCTCTTTCTTAATTTTCTTTTACTTTAATGGCTGTATGTTGAGTTATTTTGAGGGGACAGCATATTTACACTGTTATACAGGCTGTATACTTACTACTTTACATTCACATGAAAAGATATAATAAAATATTTGCAAAAATGTGAGGGGTGTTCTCACTTTTGTGAGATACTGTTAATGGACTGGCCCTTTTTATGGGTTGTGGGCTATGGGTATAATTAAAGAATAGTTATCAATGACTAGGTTGTTTTTTTTGTTTTTATTGGAAATCCAACATTCTGAGCAAAAGGTGCTTTAATGCAGTATAACTGGTGTAGCTTTCTGCCGGTTTTCAGCACATCGGATATTCTCTTTGTGGTCTGTAAGACACACAGAACCATGGCCAATCTAAATTCCACACATTGACCATGCTTCTAGAACCCTTCATTTTACTTTGCAGATATGCAAACCTAAGACATTTTGTTCCAACCAATGCCACAGCTACCACACATTTAGTATACCGAGTCAATTTAATCATTTTCTTTTTCCATCCAGTGACCAAAAGTATATTTTTAACCATGTTTTTAACACTGAAAATGACTTTTCTGATTAAAGATTAACTATCCCTGGATTCAGATAGGTTAGTATCTCTGGATAATAGCTTGATATACTAAACTTGGCAAATTACCAGTAAATCCTACATAATTCTTATTTCCGCTGCAGAATGGACTTCGAATGATATATAATTTCCTCAGCAAAGGTTTGAAATCTGATCAGCTTTATCTAGGTATATTTCTGTTTTTAGTAAACATTAATTTAAATTAAATTAAACCAGAATATTTACAAGCTTTCTTGGTAGAAATTATTTAGGCTTGAAGATATATTCCATGAATGGTGAGTGCAAGTATGTGTTTAGAAAGAGAACTGTGGAACGTAATCAAGAGTTCGGACTAATAAAGAATTTTAACTTAGTCCCAGAAGTTCAGTTGGAAAAAAGCAGAGACACATGCATATTTGTGGCCTGCTGGAGGTCATTTTGCAGGGCTCTGCAAGTGCTCCTCCTGTTCCTCCTTGCACAAAGGCAGAGGTCGCGGTCCTGCTGCTGGGTTGTTGCCCTCCTATGGTCTCCTCCACGTCTCCTGATGTACTGGCCTGTATCCGGGCAGCGCCTCCATGCTCTGGACACTATGCTGACAGACACAGCAAACCTTGCCACAGCTTGCATTGATGTGCCATCCTGGATGAGCTGCACTACCTGAGCCACTTGTGTGGGTTGTAGACTCCATCTCATGCTACCACTAGAGTGAAAGCACAGCCAGCATTCAAAAGTGACCAAAACATCAGCCAGGAAGCATAGGAACTAAGAAGTGGTCTGTGGTCACCACCTGCAGAACCACTCCTTTATTGGGGGTGTCTTGCTAATTGCCTATAATTTCCACCTGTTGCACAACAGCATGTGAAATTGATTGTCACTCAGTGTTGCTTCCTAAGTGGACAGTTTGATTTCACAGAAGTGTGATTTATTTGGAGTTACATTGTGTTGTTTAAGTGTTCCCTTTATTTTTTTGAGCATTGTGTGTGTATGTATGTGTGTATATATATATGTATATATATGTGTGTGTGTTTGTCTGGGATGGGCCCTTAACCCCCCTTGTTATAAACACATAGGCTTCTTGTAAGAAGAAACTTTATCTTTGGTCAGTGTTTACATTAGCATTCCACAGTTTAGCCATGCAATGAATGGAGTTAGAAAGAAACAAATGTGCCTGTCTTTGCATTCTATTACAAAATGGAATCACATCTGCCAAGTAGTGACTTTGCAGTATACATTTTTATTCTCAATCTTATAACAACATGTCTGGCAGTAAAATACCTGACAATATGGCTACCCCTCTGTGTGCGCCAATCCCACCAAAAAGCTCTATTTTGCCAAAAAGCTCTATTTTGGTTTCATCTGACCATAGAACCCGATCCCATTTGAAGGTTCAGTAGTGTCTGGCAAACTGAAGAGGCTTTTTTTTTTTTTTTTTTTTAAATCCCTTCCAAACAACTTGTGGTGATGTAGGTGATGTCGGATTGGAGTTTCAGAGACTTTCTGACCGCAAGATGCAACTAACTTAAGCAACTCTCCAGCTGTGATCCTTAGAGATTTTTTGGCCACTCAAACTACTCTCTTCACAGAGTGTGGTGACAATATAGACACGTGTCCTCTTACAGGTTGATTTATATCATTTACAGTTGACTGGACCTGTTTGATTATTGCCCTGATGGTGGAAATGGGCATTTTCAATGCTTTTTTGCTATTTTCTTGTAGCCACTTCCCATTTTGTGAAGTTTACCCGATGTGATCAATGACTAAGGAAATTTGACCAATATTTTACCTCATATTTATACCCGTGTGAAACAGGAAGTCCTGTTTGAACAATTTCGTGCTTCTAGTAACCCATGTATATAGGGGTACAAATACATTTTGTGCCACAAATATATTTAACAAAGATTATATATATAGATATAAATAGGATAAACCTGTGTTGCTTTTGCAATTGTTTGATATGCATAAGAGCATATTTTTTGTGTTTTATTTTTTAGACCAAAATATCAAAAGGTTAAACAATAAAGACACATTTTTACAGCCGCCTTTGCTCATATTTACCAAGGGTAATATTAGTGAAAAGCACTCTATGCTCCTGCCACCATCACCACCAGTAGAGATCTGGGGCTGAATAGTCCATAATCTGGGGCTTTATCCCCAAATAATCCAAGCAACATTAATCTATATGTAAATACTGTGTATGTACATTTGTATCCAGCATCTCACAAAAGTGAGTAAACCCTTACATTTTTGTAAATATTTTATTTTATCTTTTCATGTCACAACACTGAAGAAATGGCACTCTGCTACAATCTAAAGTAGTAAGTGTATAGCCTGTATGCCAGTGTTGGCAACAAAATTAATTCCCAAAAATTAATTCCTATTGGAAATGTCCAAATAGGGCCCAATTAGCCATTTTCCTTTCCTGGTGTCACGTGACTCGCTAGTGTTTCAAGGTCTCAGGTGTGTTAAATTTGGTGTTATCGCTCTCACACTCTCTCATACTGGTCACTGGAAGAGCTCTCTGAGGATCAGAAAAAAATAATTTGTGCTCTACATAAAGATAGCCTAGGCTATAAGAAGATTGCCAAGACCCCGAAACTGAGCTGCAGCACGGTGAGCAAGACCATACAGCGGTTTCTCAGGACAGGTTGCACTCAGAACAGGCCTCACCATGGTCGATCAAAGAGGTTGAGTCCACGTGCTCAGCGTCATATCCAGAGGTTCTCTTTGGGAAATAGACGTATGAGTGCTGCCAGCATTGTTGCAGAGGTTGAAGGGGTGGAGGGTCAGCCTGTCAGTGCTCAGACCATACGCTGCACACTGCATTAAATTGGTCTGCATAGCTGTCGTCCCATAAGGAAGGTTTTCTAAAGATGATGAACAAGAAAGCTCACAAACAGTTTTGCTGAAGACAAGCAGACTAAGGACATGGATTACTGGAACCATGTCCTGTGGTCCGATTAGACCAAGATAAACTTGTTTGGTTCAAATGGTGTCAAGCGTGTGTGGCGGCAACCTGGTGAGGAGTACAAAGACAAGTGTGTTTTGCCTACAGTCAAGCATGGTGGTAGGAGTGTCATAGTCTGGACCTGCATAAGTGCTGCCGGCAATGGGGAGCTACAGTTCATTTAGGGAACCATGAATGCCAACATGTACTGTGACATACTGAAGCAGGGCATGACCCCTGCTCTTGGAGACTGGGCCACGAGGCAGTATTCCAACATGATAACGACCCCAAACACGTACTGTGACATACTGAAGAAGGGAATGATCCCCTGCCTTTGGAGACTGGGCCACGAGGCAGTATTCCAAACATGTACTTTGACATACTGAAGCAGGGCATGATCCCCTGCCTTTGGAGACTGGGCCAAGAGGCAGTATTCCAACATAACGACCCCAAACACACGGCAGGGTGCCAACCCCAAAATGACCACTGCCTTGCTAAAGAAGCTGAAGGTAAAGGTGATGGACTGGCCAAGCATGTCTCCAGACCTAAACCCTATTGAGTATCTGTGGGGCATCGTCAAACAAAGTGGGGGAGCGCAAGGTCTCTAACATCCACCAGCTCCATGATGTCATCATGGAGGAGTGGAAGAGGACTCCGGTGGCAACCTGTGAAGTTCTGGTGGACTCCATGCCCATTAGGGTTAAGGCAGTGCAGGAAAATTATGGGGCCACACAAAATATTGACACTTTGGGCCCAATTTGGACCTTTCGACTTAGGGGTGTAATACTTTTGTTCCCAACGGTTTAGACACTAATGGCTGTATGTTGAGTTATTTTAAGGGGACAGCAAATTTACACTGTTATACAGGCTGTACACTTACTACTTTACATTCACATGAAAATATATAATAAGATATTTGCAAAAATGTGAGGGGTGTACTTACTTTTGTGAGATACTGTTAATGGACTGGCCCTTTTTATGAGTTGTGGGCTATGGGTTTAATTAAAGAATAGTTATCAATGAATTAAGGTTGTTTATTTTTATTTTTATTGGAAATCCAACATTCTGTCACGTATTCATTCGCTTATAAAAATGTGGTTAATGGCATTTACTGTCCACACAGGAAAAGTTGTGCCGAGCAGCAACCTAATCCACAGAAGGGTTAATGCTGAGCAGCAATTATGCAAATGGGAACCTGTTAACTGACTTTGGGGTCAAAGGCCAGTTACAGCCTATCAGATCTAGAGGAGGGGTATTTAGGCCCAGTTCTCATCCTGCTCAGTGCCCTGTTGTGGTTTCCCTTGTGGTTGTCCGAGAGCGTGTTCCTGATTCAAGTTTCTTCTGGTTTTTGACTTCCCTGTATTCTGGTATCCCTGACTTCTGGCTTTCCCTTATCGTTGTCTCTTTCTGTATCCCTTGACCTCGGCAAGTATCCTGACTATTCTTTGGTACGTTACGTCTGGCCATTCTAAGGCCCAGTAATACATTACCTATTAGTCATCTGTGTGACACAATTCTACATGCTGGATCAACTAGTAATCCTGGCACATTCTGAGCAGAAAAGGTGCTTTAATGCAGTATAACTGTTGAAGCTTTCTGCTGGTTTTCAGCATATCGGATATTCTCCTTGTGGTCTGTAAGATGCACAGAAACATGGCCAATCTAAATTCCACACATTGACCATGCTTCTAGAACCCTTCATTTTACTTTGCAGATGTGCGAACCTAAAACATTTTGTTCCAACCAACGCCACAGCTACTACACATTTAGTATACCAAGAGTAAACTTTTAATTTAAAGCCTTGCCTTCAAAAATGTACAGTTACTTTTCAATGTTTTTGCATACCAGACATGTGTTTTAAAGAGCTTACTATGTTTATGGTAGCACCGAGATAATACCAGCAGACAGATAAATCAGAATCACATTGCATCAGTTGCTGAATCTAATCTGTGTTTTATGAAAGCTCGGGCTGATTTTGTTGATTTGTCCTTCAGAAAATCGTTAAAGTGTTACCCTAAGCACCATAGCCACTACAGCAACACAATGTGCACAGAATTGTTAAACTACATATGTGCAGCATTTCTCTTTGAAACTTTAAACATACAGACTCCAGGCACCATCAACACTTAAAAGTAGTGATGGTGCTTGGAGTGACCCTTTAACTATAACAATAGCTAATTTGTTATACCCCAATTAGGAACAATTTAGTACTATTTGTATCCACATTAATACTTATACTTATAATATTGTGCATTCTGTATTTTCCAAAACACAGCACTTGTCTTGTTGTGAATTTGTTTATTGCAATTCTCCCCCCCCCCCCTTCTCTTCTATATCCTATTATTTGTCATATGTTTTCCAGAAACTCCAATAATTATTTTTAAAATAAATAAAGCATACATAAAACCCTTCTTTCACATACGTGTGTTTATGTAAACACTATACAGAGTTAATTTTATTAACATGCTAGGTACCATGTGACAGCAAAGGATTGTAATATTTCTTATAGTATAAATGAGAAGTGGCCATAGACAAATATTCATGTCAGATGGATATCACTCAAGATGATTTAAAAGCTCTAAAATTTCAGTCTCATTTGAAGACCTTTTCATGTGCATAAAATGTGCCTCGAGGCATCAAGCACTCAACTGTCATTAGAAATTCTCTCTTGTACATACAGGCTAATATTGGTTTAAAAATCAAAACATTTTATATTTTTTTCTCCTATGAAATATGCATTTTCAGCTTAGAAAATGTTTTGTTTTTTTTCTAATACCTGTGGCATAGAATGAAAAGAATTCACAGATTAAATATATATTTTTATCACTAGTAATGCTATTTGTACTATTCAAATCTGAAGTTGCTGTATGAACTGTGTGTTCCTGAAAAATATTCTGTTATTAATTACAATAGTTGATCATGAAATATCGTGAGTATGTAATCTTGGTAAGTCAGCCATGTGTTAAATAACAGAAGTACATTTATTTACTCTTAACCTGGGACTGAAGCGAGGTAGGATGGAGTCTATTATCTGATAACGCAGTTGAGTGATTGTGTTGACTCAATTGGAAATTCTAACCTTCTAGTTCTTATGGTTAATTTGTGCTTGGAAAACCTGTCAATGGTAACAATAGTGTTCTCTCCAATGGGTCAGACCACATGGACATCTTAATAAATAACAAACCTAAAATCAAAAGTTAAGAAGTTATTGATCTTATATTTTTGTCCATTTCTATGATGACAAAAGATATCCCCTTTTATGACTTTTTCAGAAACCTCTGTTTAAACATGGGAATGTTCACTGTTAAGATACAGGCAAAAAATCCTTATGTTTAATTGTTTAAAGTTTTACATCAGCCTTAACAAGCACATCCTTGATATATTTAGCATGTCTGTAGTAGGTTAGAGGGGGATTTTGGAATTCACAAATTAATGGGCATGTTCTATTGAGAATAATTGATTTTTTTTTTGTTTTTTGGTTTGTTAATTTTAAATGCATCAATGATGTCAGCTATGAAGATCCAGGTCCATCACATTACACATTTAATTGTGTCTATGGGCTTAGAATTTATAAAACCCTGTAAGGTGTGTGTCTGGGTGGGAGTATGGTAGTGTTTAACATTAAGGGTGTGTGTGTCTCTGTTTTGTGTGTTTGTGTTTTTGTGCATCTTGAGGTGCGTGTCTATATCGGAGAGAGTGTCTGTTAGTGGGGGGCCCAGCCAATGGTGTTGTAAGTGGCCCTAGGTTTTCAGATAGCAACCCTAACACCAGGACGTATATATAAAAACCCAAAGGTGATATATACAAATAGAGGGTGGTTGAGAACAATACAACCTGAATATGGCTGAAAATGAACGTGGAATCTATAAAATAGCAAAATACAAAATATAGTGAAGTAAGTTAGGCAAAATTGGATTTGCACGTGGTAGAAAACTTACAAGAAGGGAGTAATAATCACGCCTGTCATCCTGTCAGGGGTACTTTCCACATTGGAGACCGAATATATATGGCGAGGACTGACAATATCACTTTTTCTTCAGCTCAGGAATAAAATATCCCTTTTTCCTTCAGCTCAGGAACAAAAGAAAAAATATATATATAGTGCAGATTGTATAAAAATAACAAAATTTATTCCAAATATTGCACTTACAAGAAATCAGAAGTAAGACAGCATATCTCCATAATGAAGTAATGGCCGGGTCTCAAGGTGAAAGTAGAGAGAGATCCCAAAATGGAGGTACACAAAATTAAAAAAATATAAAATAAAATAAATAAAAATAACAAATGGACTATAATAACAGCTGTATATTAGCATAAAAAGTCCAAAAGTAGTATCCAACGCGTTTCGTCACTATGGTGACTTCCTCAGGGATATAG